GACAGAACTGCAAGTAATTTGACAAGCTCCACTTGCCTGGTTTCGCCGTCGTCCCAAAAATTCCCACTTCCATGTCGTGTTCGTTTTTCTCCTTCTTCTTTTGAGCTTTCGACGTTAGCTTAAGTCTAGAACGTAGCATGCCTTTTTTAGTCGTCTCGGACCCAGGACCGGCTTGATATTCTTTGCCAGATCTAGACGTTTCCTCTCTACGAAGAGCCAGAGCGACTTCCTCTGTGGTCATCAGGTTACCATTATCTTCAACTTGTGCGAGAGACCCCTCTTGAAAATTGGTGGGGTCTACATCTCCACCAGCAAACTCTTCTTCCTCTTCATCGGCGGAAATGAAGTTCATGGCTTGTCTGGCCGTCTCCAGTTCTTCCATTGCTTCTGAAATAGCATTCAAGATCCCAGTAGTTTCTTCGTTTGTATACTCCCGGAACGATTTCTCCAGCGCTGTTTCTTCATTGGGGAGCGCGGAATCGTCTCCTGAGGGTTCCTTTCTTTTGCGGCCCATTGCGTCTGAAACTCCTTTTCACTTTGAAGGATGAAGGATGAGCCGCGTGTAAGGATGTGTTGCTCTCACAACAATCTCTTCAGGACACTTTGAAGAATATCTTTTTTGCACTTTCACCACGCCTCGACCGCTCCCGGAATGTCTTTCGGAATATGAGAAGACACGACATAAATGTTGCTATCGCATCTGTAGGCTATCGCCTACAGATCATTTTGTTGACATAGTTTTCACGTTGTGGCAGGCTCTGGTGCGAAAGCGACGGCTACCTAATGAAATATGCTGAAGGGATGCCATATGCAGCACTTCCAAATTTCTTGAAGAACGCCCCCGGATAAGACAAGTGACGGTTTGGCTGAAAGGGTGCCTTCTGGTTCTTTGAAATCGTCATTGCGTGTTTCGAGCAGGGGCGCTTCTTTCTTTGCGGATCAGGACGGGAGGCCTCTCTCAATTCTGTGACATCGTTCTATTCCATTTATTTCGATAAGGCACGCTGGTAGCCTCAAAACATTTTTTCATTCTTATCTGGGTTGGTGCCTACATTTTGCTCACGCGAACTCGTTTGGAAAGTGTTGAACAAGTCCATAAGAAATCATTAGGGACACAATCATGACTGATGAAGCCATTTCAGCTGTTCAGCTTCACATACTTGATGCGCAAAGAACCCACGCGGGACTCAACAATAGCCTCGACGGTTTGGAGCGTGCCCTTCTTCTTCTTTACAAGTTGAAAACAGTTCGGGAATCGAAATCTATGCAGGGAGAAAGTACCGGTCCAATTGACAGCCTACTCAACGAAAAACACGCACAGCTTGAAGACATTCTGAGCAAAAACAGTGAGGAGAACGCTCTTGATGAATTCGATTTTTCTACATGGGTCAGTGCTATTGAAAGTGACGTTCGAGCACAGGACCCCCTGATGTTATCGTTTGACTCAGGAAGCGAGGATGAAGCAGACAGAGCTAGATCAACTAGAAGCAACCGGCGTGATGCATCCAGCAATCGCTTCGACGGTGCGGTTCCGAGCAAAGGAGGCAGCACACTACTGGAAGTCCTGATGTCTAACGGAAAATTAAGGACTCGGGCTGCTGATCCTTTGAGAAGCGCAGAAAGAGATGACAGATTTTTCTGCTTGACGACAGTCGCATGGGCGTGTGCGGTGATTGGTATGATTGTAACTATTGGATTTCTCTCGAAGGACTTCTATGTGGCACAGAGGAATATTGCCATTCAGATAGAGAGGTCCGCTCCATCACCTCTAGAGTTGCCGGCAGTAACGATATGTGGAGATACTCCAAATCTTCCTCCTTTCTCAAATTTTCCGACGGACGAACACCCAGGGCTCCCATTGTTTGGTATTACAACTTACATTCGAACAAACAGGACCCAATCATCTTTTCGAAAGGAAATTCACTTCCCTGACACTCTGCCAGATGCTGAGAAATCTCCAGTCGAAGAGGTTGTGCTAGCTGAAGATGGCGAGCGGGTTAATCAATTGCGAAAAGGATTTGATGCCAGACGAGAAATGAAGTCGTTAAGAGATGTAGCAAACACCGGATCCTTTGAGGACTTGAGTGAAAACAAGATGCAGGCCTTTTATTGCTTTCGGGTCGGAAGGAAGAAACGAGAACTTCTGTACCCGTTTGACCCGAGGGACGGCGCAAACCTGTTCAACCCCTCGTTGCAAGTAACAGTTTTCAAGTCTCGACTTCTTGGGGCTTGTAGGATCAGGTTCCTTCAGCGTGATATGGTCCTGTACCGGGCTTTTGCGGCTGAGTTGTACCTTTTCGCAGACCGTCTTCAAGAGCGAGGTATTCTTGACTTCAACGGGCATCCGAAAAGTGTGCTAAACAAAACTGCGTATGATTTGAAGATTGTCAACCATCCAATCGACTTTTACTGCAATGTTTACTTTTTTTCCGGCTTCTTTTATCCAACACTGGACAACGCTAGTATTTCGTATCGATACAATCCGGAATACCCAAATTTATGGGAGAAGACCGGGAGGGGCCCATACTATTCAGCATACACTTGGAACTACTCTGACCCACTTCTTGTTGGACCGGACAACCGAGCGCTGGAAAAAGATTTTTACACTCTCAACTCGATACGATTATTTGCAGAAGACCCCACCGAAGCCAACAATAATTCTATCGTATCGCCCAGTACGGGCATGTCGATTTTAGATATGGCGTCTTCTTCAATTTACTCTTTCAAGAAGATGAATGTGGAAGGCAAAAATGTTTACCAAATGGCACAAGGATTGAGTCAGTCATCGAGGTTGCACTTCAAAGTCGTGGACCATTACCAGGTGAACATGGATTTTTCCACGTTTGAAACTGAACGAATTCTAACTTTGCCCACCATGTCCTGGCCGGAGTTCTTAACAGACGTCTTTGAATTTGTTGGCCTCTTCACAGGAATATGCATATTCACCCTTATTGTCGCTCCGGCCCATTCTCTCGTCTGACAGGTCTGACAGAAGAGGAATATCGCAACCCTAGCTGAGCTGTGCTTCCGCGTGATTTTTTTTGCTTTCGAACACCAAGAATCCACGTTTCTTTGAATAGTTCGCATGAATGGCATACATACATCGCTTGCGAACAAGTAACATGTGATATGGCATTGAAACAGATCCTCCAAAGCCCTCTCGTGTCCAGTGCTTCGATATCAATGGTAGCATGAGCGTCAAAATTTTGAGACTGACGACCGTAGGAATAAAGTGCGTGAGCAGATTGAATTCATATTAATTTCCGTTCCTACCTACATGAATGTCATTCGAATATAGTTAAGGGCTATGCTATTTGTCTGTTTTCATTGAAGAGTGTTTACTTTCGCGATTGACACACTATCTGCGACCCATAGGTGCACAAAAAGACTGTGTCATGCCTCTTTTGTGCAGAGCTCTGCATGTGTTTACAGGGGAGTCGATGCGACAAGGAGGAGGGTCTCCGTTGAGTTTTCTGGCTCCTACCGTCGAAATGTCTATTTTTGGGGAGACTTATTTGACGATCACATCCACAATCACAATCTGTAGTACATCTACAAAATTTGTAGTTACAGTATAGCCCATGTGTATCGTTGTTTGACACTACATCAAGATCCTCCCAATGAATCGGTCATGCTTCATTCCATTCGGAGCTCCACTTGCGTTCCTGCGATCAACTTCATGGCAGAGAATAAGTAGGTTATCTTCATCGAATGCTGCAGGTCAAATTCTGCGAACATGCATTACGTCATTATCTTCGGTCAATAGTACTCCAGACCTTTCACGGCAGCCACGGCACATAATCCTGCTAAGCGGCGGAGTGGAAAGCTCGACGCTGTTACACGTCGCTGCGTCGAAAGGCGGGCATGAGATTACGGGTCTATTCTGCGACTATGGCCAGCGTGCGGCTCATCACGAGCTACGCGCATGCGAGGCGCAGTGCAAGCACGCGCATGTGACAGATTTACTACAGGTAGATTTGACGAGTGTAACAAGCGCCTTCCAAAAGCGCTCTACAGAGCGGCGACACGTGCCATTGCACCACCGGAACGGGGTGCTGCTCTCTCTCGGTCTATCGCTCGCGGGGCAGGAAGGTGCTTCACGGATCTCGGTGGCGATCTGCAAGGACGACGCGAGCTGGTACCTCTCAGCCTCGCCCGACTTTCTACGAGCATTCCGGGAGGTTGGGCAGACGCTAGGCGGGGTGGCAATAGAGTCGCCCCTTGAGCAGTTGACGAAACGCGAGGTGATCCAGCTCGGGGAGGCAGCGGGCGTGAGGTGGGAAAGCACGTGGAGCTGCATGATCGGGCGCGGGGATGGTCACTGCGGGCGATGCGTGCAGTGCCGGGCGAGGAAGAGGGCGTTTGAGGAGGCAGGAGTTGCGGAAGTGGACGGGTTTTACATGAGATAGGGGTTAATTGTTAGGCTGTCTTTGCGTTTCCGTACAAAAAGAACTCGCCGATGCGCTTGCCGACGACGAAGCCAACGCCGGTCATGACGCCGGTGCAGAGGGGGTAGAAGAAGACGGTGCGGAAATCGGAGGCGGTCGCGCACAGCAGGTGCTTGAGGCTTTGGGTTTCGCCAGTGGCCTTGGCGGGAGGGGCGGAGTCGCCGGCGGCGGGTGGGGAAGACATGGGCGGATGGATGGGAGAGGAGAGGCAGTCGGAGGGAGCGGACAGGTGGATAGGTGGGGTCGTTTGGGGATGGATGAAGGGGGCGGAGGGGCTGGCTTAGAAGAACGGATGTGGTCGTCGAGGGACGCGAATCGGGAGAGCACTTCTGCGATCCGGCGCTCACGATTCTGCGCCTAGCCTGGATGTTGACATCCACATGCTGTCGAATGTCCACAGCCTTCTCATACTGTACCTGGCGCTTGTCAACACAGCGATTCAATTACAATTAATTACATTTTGACGTCAACAAACGTAATTACAACTACAGTATGTCGGTCTGCAGCCAACCAGGATGATTTCCGCCAGAGTAGAGCTCGCGCCCGAGATTTTTGCCGCACCATGCCTCGTCAGCATACCCTTGCTTCACCTCCCTTGCTTCACGCTCCCACCAGCGCTACCAGCATACCCTTGCTTCACGCTCCCCCCAGCGCTACCCCAGATATCTCAACCTTCGCACCCCCGATCCATCTTCTCCCACCGTCACTCTCTGAATCGCACCCCGATCCACAACGCCGCCTTCCCGACTCCCACTATGTCGTCGACACCTGCTTTCACCGCTTCGCTTCCTGTCACCTCGCGTCCCTTCCGCTCCGCCTCTCTCATGTCGCAGAAGCCCAAATCCGGCCCCACAATGGTCGCCTCGCAGAGCCTGAAGACCACCGAGTCGCAGCGTATTCTCGAGGAGGCGCGCCATATCATGCCGGGTGGTGTCTCCTCCCCCGTGCGCGCCTTCAAATCTGTGGGCGGCGGCGCCGTCGTCTTCGATTCCGTCTCGGGCTCCAAGGCCGTCGACGTCGACGGCAATGAGTACATCGACTACATCGGCTCCTGGGGCCCCGCCATCGTCGGTGCCGCCCACCCCGAAGTCAACGCCGCCCTCACGGAGGCCCTCAAGAAGGGGACGTCGTTCGGCGCCCCGAGCGCCCTGGAGAATCAGCTCGCGAAGATGGTCATCGATGCCGTGCCCAGCGTGGAGATGGTTCGATTCGTCAACTCCGGCACGGAGGCATGTATGTCCGTTGTCAGGGTCATGAGAGCGTTTACTGGCCGCGAAAAAATTCTTAAGTTTGCCGGCTGCTATCATGGGCACGCTGACATGTACCTCGTGCAGGCGGGAAGCGGCGTTCTTACACTTGGCCTGCCGGATTCGCCGGGCGTGCCGAAGAGCTCCACGGAAACTACCCTTGTTGCTACCTATAATGATTTGGAGAGCGTCAGGAAGCAATTTGAGAACAACAAGGGCGAGATTGCTGGCGTCATTTTGGAGCCTGTGGTCGGAAACTCAGGGTTTATTCCCCCCACGAAGGAGTTTTTGGCTGGCTTGCGCGAAATCACAGAGAAGGAAGGCACTCTCTTGTGCTTCGACGAGGTCATGACCGGTTTCAGAATCGCTTACAGTGGCGCCCAGGGGTACTTTGGCATTAAGCCGGATATTTCCACCTTCGGCAAGGTCATCGGAGGCGGTTTACCTGTCGGCGCTTATGGTGGACGAAAGGATATCATGAGCATGGTGGCTCCCGCAGGGCCTGTGTATCAGGCTGGAACTTTGAGTGGCAACCCGCTTGCGATGACAGCGGGCATCAAGACTTTGGAGATTCTCAGTAGACCGGGAAGTTATGAATACCTTGACCGCATTACGGGCCGTTTGGTCGCTGGCCTGGTAGAGATTGGAAAGGAATGCGGGCATGCCGTTTGTGGAGGTCACATCAGCGGCATGTTTGGGCTCTTTTTCTGTGAGGGGCCGGTGACATGTTTCGAGGATGTGGCTGACAATTGCGACTTTGACAAGTTCGGGAGATTCCACAGAGGTATGTTGGAGAACGGTATCTACCTGGCTCCATCGCAGTATGAGGCTGGTTTCACAGGCTTGCAGCACTCGGAGGAAGATGTTGACAGGACGCTACGCGCCGCCCGCAAGGTCATGCAGGGTCTTTAAGAAAATTCTAGTTCGTTACGTGACTGCATCTTAGGTGGTTTTCACACGCACTGCACATTTCTAAGGTTTCATCACGTGGAAACACCCAAAGCGGGCTGGTAAAGATTATCTCTTCTCGCTTGTGGAAAACCAGCGCCAGATCGAACGGATAAGTCGTCAGGATATTAGTAATTAGTTAACAAAATGGTCAGTGGGAGAAGATATCTGCAGTATCCACTTCAATGTTGTTGAGGTTGGAACTGATAGAAATAAGTCGGACAAGCAAATGCGCTTGTAGATAGGATTGCTTCCTGGAAGGTGCTATTCCGTTAAGGTCAATACGGCAACATCAAGTCACGTGCAACCTTCTCCTACAATGAGAACAACGACTCCTCTGACAACTCGGAGCCAATCGCGAGCAATGAATCTCGGTCTTCTGTAGCACCCGTCCCGGTCAACCTTCGTCGACATGAGGAAATCTCATGAAATAAATGATTCGACAAGACCTCGTTTAACAGCATACATCAAGGTCCTTGTTCGGAACCATAGCGCTTCATGAGAGTTGCAGCGTTAAGCGCGAGGATGTGTTCATGGATGTACTGCCGTTCGTATCTTATATCTACGGCTTGCTTCGCTCTTCTCCAAACCACATCCCTCATTTTCGCCTTGGCAGGAGAGCTTGTAGATCCATGACCGCCAACTCCTCTTGTAAAGTGGGCGTTGTAAACACCTACTCTCCAGCCTGCAGTCCATGCGGCGTAGCTCAGAACACAATCCTGCCACACGCCAGGTTCTTTTTCTCGGAACAATCCGACATCCAATCCTCCGACGCGATGCAGAGCCTCCGATCTGACAAAGACGGGGGCAATCCAAGCGCATTCCGCGTACATAAACGGGTGCAAGGTTCTCGAGCTGAGAAATGGAATGCGAGCAGTCTTACCCTTTCTCTGTCCGCCATGGTCACTTTGCTGCTCGCCGAACTCAAATCCAGTGCCGTTTTTGAGCCACAATTGTCCAATGAAGCCCGTGAGCACGCCAAGCTTGGGGTCAGCATCGAACAGTTCGAGCGCATGGGTGACCCAGTTGAGCTGGGCGGGCATATTGTCGGCATCATCGGCATGCGGCAGATCCGGGGGCAGATCGTCGTCCTGCATGAGGATGAAATACTCGGCCGAGCTCATGCGCATGGCGCGGTTGTAGCATCTCGTCTCGTGCAAGTTGTTACTGACGACGATGAAATGCTTGAAGTCGCGCAGCTGCTCCATCCAGTGATCTAAGCTGGCGTCCGTGGATCCATCCTCACAAACAATAATCTCCTGAATGGCTGGATTTGCCACAAGTGCCTTTGCAATGCGCTCAACGTTGTTCTGATGGTTGAAGCTCTGGACGATAGCGCAGACGGTGGGAGTTTCATGCGGCTCATACACGTCTGGCTGTCGGCAGCCGCAGTTGAGCTCTGCGCGCAAGCGGTCGATGATGGGGTCGTGGGTGACATCTTGAAGCAGTCCATGCGAGAGGCAGCGCGACACAGCGCGCTCGTCGACGTGGTGGGCGGTGAACGGAGTGCCGGAGAGAGGGCTTGTAGAGAGGGCCGGAGCGGAGAGGGCGAGAGGAGGGGGGGAGTTGCGTGAAACCCAGGTGGGAGAGATGAGGTTGAGGAGGCAGCAGAGGAAGAGAAGGAGAGCGTAGGTAAGGACGGTGGCGTGGATGAAGGGTTGGAAGACACCGGTGCGCGCGGTGGCCTGGCGATAGCAGGCGGCAAGGCCGGCCATAGTCGGGACTAGTGGAGAGCGTGGCGGAGAGGCGGGTGCAAACTGATTCGGGTAGGTCGCGTCAGAGCGCCATTGCCATCGCGCGAAAGGGGGATGGGGACGGTGGTGGAATTGGCCGATGGGGAAACAAGACGATGCGGAAACGGGCTGGCGTGGGCCGCGAGCAAGGCGGTACGGCACTGTCTCGAACAGCGGGGGCCCCTGTGCGAACAAGGTATGAAGCTCAACACGTGTACATATGGAATGGGTGAATGCCAAGTACACGTGTGAAACACAGCAATGCAGGCCAAGGTGTAATGCGGAAGATCAATGCCGACGAGGGTTGCTTACTGTGAATAGAATTGGCGCGAATCCATTAAAAAAAGGAGAAAACAGGGGATGGCCAGTCAAAGTGGTGGATGCAGGAGGAGTGGTGCTCCCGTTTGGCGCCAAGTAGTTGGCGCCAAAAGCACCCGGCGAGCCCCACAGTCCCCAACAACGACATCCAACCGATACTTTCGCGCCACCGCTCTGTAAGAAGATCTCTTCTGCTCCAGCACACATTTATCGTTGCTGAACTTGCGTCGGCCTCCTCCTGTGCAACTCCACCATCTCCCTCTGCCCCCCCCACGTTTCCCCTCCCCCTCCCTTCACCATCCTCCCACCTATCAAGCATCACAGATCCCTTCCCCTCGTCGGCGCAGTCATGCCCGTCTCCAATGGCGACGCGCCTTCGCGCCCCTCGTCGAAAGCCCGCGTCCCGGCTACCCTGGCCCAGTCCAATGCAGTGATTCACACCGAGATCCGTCGTGCCCAGGGCGACCGTCGCAATTTTTTACTCGCGCAGGCACCCATGTTCAAACATTTCATCGGTGAAGACGACGACTCCGATACTGCCGCAAAGCCTTCTGCCAAGCAGCCGGAGAAGCGTTTGGGTGTCAAGTCGAAGAAGAGGCGCATGACTGAGAAGGAGGAGGATAGGCTCATGATGGAGAGCGCAGCGAAGAGCGATATGTCTGACCCGCTTGTGCAAACAACACGCCTCAAGAAACAGCCGTCAAATGTGACGGGTACTATGAGGCCATATCAGATTGAGGGGCTCAACTTCTTAATTGGATTGTTTGAGCGTGGCCTCAATGGCATTCTTGCGGATGAGATGGGGCTCGGTAAGACCTTACAGACTATCTCTCTGCTGGGTTTTCTCAGGCAGTACAAGGGACTCACTGGACCTCACCTTATCATTGTTCCGAAAAGCACGCTCGGGAACTGGATGAATGAAATTAAGAGATGGTGTCCGGATATTCGCGCCGTCCGGTTTCATGGCACTCAGGAGGAGCGCAAGCATCAAATGTCGAACCTCATTGTGTACGGCAAGTTTGATGCAGTTGTTACATCGTATGAAGTCGTAACAAAGGAAAAGGCTCACCTTACCAAGTTTTGCTGGCGCTACCTCATCATTGATGAGGCCCATCGCATCAAGAACGAAAATTCACTCCTTTCCCAGGTTGTCCGTATGTTTACAACACAAGCACGCTTGCTCATCACCGGAACTCCATTGCAAAACAACCTTCATGAGCTCTGGGCCCTGCTCAACTTCCTCTTGCCTGATGTCTTTTCGAGCTCGGACGTTTTTGAGAAATGGTTTTCGAGTGTTGAAGCTGTAGAAGGCGACAACACGACAAACGATACAGAAAAGCAACAGGAGATTATCGGTCAGTTGCATGCTGTCTTGCGTCCGTTCCTTATCCGTCGTTTGAAGAGCGAAGTTGAGCACAGTCTGCCCCCGAAAAAAGAGACCGTGCTGTTCACAAAACTCTCCGCAATGCAGCTTGAGCTATACAGAAACCTTCTCAAGAAGGATATTGATGCCATCAATGGGAAGGGTGGAGACCGCGTGCGCTTGCTCAATATTCTTATGCAGTTGCGCAAGTGCGCAAATCATCCGTATCTCTTCGATGGCGTTGAAGATCGTTCGCTAGATGCTTTTGGTGACCATCTCATTCAAAACTGCGCGAAGATGACCTTGCTGGACAAACTCTTGCCTCGTCTGAAGGAGGGCGGACATCGGGTCCTCATATTTTCGCAAATGACACGCGTTCTTGACATTCTCGAAGACTACTGCACGATGCGGCAATTCAAATTTTGCAGGATCGATGGGAGTACCGACGGTGAGTGGCGTGACGAGCAGATTGCCGACTACAATCGTGATGGTTCCGAAAAATTCATCTTCTTATTGTCGACGAGAGCTGGTGGCCTCGGTATCAATCTTGCGACCGCAGATACCGTTGTTCTGTACGACAGTGATTGGAACGCCCAGTGTGATTTGCAAGCCATGGATCGCGCTCATAGAATTGGTCAGCGTAGACCCGTGAATGTCTACCGCCTGATTACAGAGAACTCAGTCGAAGAACGCATTCTGCGCACTGCTATGTCCAAGCTACGCCTAGACACTCTTGTGATTCAACAAGGTCGACTAACACAACAGAAGAAAAACCTCCAAAAGGACGAGCTTCTCAACATGATCCGGTTTGGCGCGGATAAATTTTTCAAGTCTAATGCATCAGACTACGCTGAGGAAGATATTGAAGTGATCCTCTCTCGCGGTGCAGAAAAGACAAAGGAGATGAATGAAGAGCTAGGAGAGAAGATCACAACATCGGGCAATCTCGATATGCTCGACTTCAAGCTCTCCGGCGACGATGCTAACAAGGACAAGTCTATCTTTCATTTTGAAGGTGTTAACTATAAGGAGAAGGCCGCCGGCGGAAACGAGTTCTTTTTGGACGTTGGTAAGCGAGTTCGGTCTAAGAATTATGACGAAGCCGCCTACTACAGGGACGCTATGCGACAGACGCCAGCGCCTCAAGTTGAAAAGAAGAAACCTCGACTGAAATATCGCAAAGAGCCATCATTGCCAGACCACATGCTGTATAATACTCCAAGATTGCGAGAGCTCTTCCAAGTTGAGAGGGAAATCGTGGATAAGTTCAATGCCGAAGCCGACGCCGTAGTTAAGGAAGGCAAGGAACAACCAGAGCTCCCAAAATTAGAAAGTTTGCTATCTGAAGAGCACGAAAATGAGCGTGAAACGCTTCTCGATGAGGGTTACAGCGAGTGGACAAAGAGAGAGTTTTCTAGTTTCTTGCGTGGAATAGAGCGTTACGGGCGTGAAAATTTTGACAAGATTCTCGATGATATAGGCGATTCAAAGACTATGGAGCAGCTGGTAGAATATTCAGCAGCCTTTTGGGAAAAGGGCCCGACTCGTATTGACACATGGCCAAAGGTTCTGAAGGTTATTGAAGATGGAGAACAAAAGATTGCTCGTCGAGAGGAGATGGAAAGGGCAATTCAAGTCAAGGTTAAACGATACGACGACCCATGGAAGGAGCTTGATATGGTCTATTCCAACAATCGTTCCAAGACTTTCATAGACGAGGAGGACCGGTGGTTAATATGTATGACCAGCCAGCTCGGCTATGGAAGATGGGATGATATCAAGCTGGAGGTGCGGAAGGCATGGCAGTTCCGTTTCAATTGGTGGCTCAAGAGTAGAACACCAAACGAATTGAAACGTAGAGTGGACGTCTTAATTAGACTCATCGAGAAGGAGAATGAAGAGATCGCCGAACAGCAAAAACTGATGGAAAAGCGCAAGAAAAATGCGTCCAGACGCAGGGATTCTGTGTCAAATGGCAGATTAAATGGTCCATCATTTCCCCAGAAGAAGAGAAAGACCGAGCAATCGCAGGTCGATTCATTCTTCTCATCGAAACCTAAGTCACAGAAGATCTCTCGACCTTCATAGCCACTCCATTTATCAGGAACTTTAACATTTGCGCTTTTCACTTCCATATAGCAAATGTGGTATTGTCCGCAATGACTTCAGGCGATGTGTAGATCTCAAACAATAAACGCCGAGTCGGTTTTAACGTGTATCCTCCGCAAGGTTCCCGAGATCTAGAGTAATGTCGTGATGTTGCTCACATTCACTGGCACGTGCCAGGACGTCGCGAAGGTCCTGAGGGACTGGGGCCTCAAGATTAATCTGAGTACCGTTCTCTGGGTCAGTGAATGAGAGCCGCCGCGAGTGAAGACAGCATCTTGTGACCCCGAAATGTTCCCTCACGAAGCGATTTTGGGTACCCTTGGCGTAGGAGGTATCTCCAAGAATCGCATGGCGAGAGTAACTAAGGTGGCGTCGAATCTGGTGTCGTCTGCCAGTCGCAAGTGTAGCGCGGACAACAGATAAATCAGATTCATCGAGTCGAAGGAGCTGCTCAAACATGGACGATGCCGAACGTTCTTTGCGTGTCTTTCCCGTCAAGTCTCGCAATGAGTGGTGGTTTTCCCACTTTTGTGGCATCTCAGCTCCAAACGCAATCGCCCAATACTCCTTTCTGGAGTGCTCGGACTGCAAGGCATGTTGTAGCTGTGAAGCTTTTTTTGAATCGCCGAGAGCAAAGACCATAGCTCCACTAGTCGGTCGATCTAAGCGTTGAACCGGAAGGACTGCTGTTGGAAGTCCGCGAATTTCTCCAACTCTTTTCCGTACTTCATCTACGACATAGGTCTCTCTCGGACGAGCGTGGTATAGTTTCGTCCTGTGCACCAACATGGAAGGAGGTTTGTTGACCGCTACCCAGTTTTCTTGAAGAGCAATTATGTCAAGTGGAGCTGCTACGCACTCCGCATCTGAGACCGGGGAAGGTTCTGGTTGCGTGGATCCAGCTGTAGAGAGGGGCACAGAATTTCGGACACATGGAATACGCTTTCTCCTTGCGGGTAGTGCTCGGCGACAGATGGAGTGCGTGCGTAGGAGTTGATTTCGAGGCCAAGCGAAACCGCCCACTGCAAAGGCGGATGTGGAAGTATGCTGAGGTGTCCAAGTTGCTGCAGAAAAATGATAAGGCATCCTAAGGTATCTCTAGTTCCGAACCTGTTCTCGTTTTTCAAGACGCCTCGAAAATCGCGTCGAAAGTAGATTGTTGAACCTGCCTTGCCCCGGAAAAAAGGCGATGGTGAGCAGTGCTAGTGCGTCCAAAAAGAGAGTCGGGCAGGAGTTCTTTTCTGTCTTAGGTCAGTGATATTGCATTTTCTCTCTGAGCTTCTCCCCGAATCAGTTGATGCGTCTACGACGGAAGGTCGGAAATGGAGGTCGGAAATGGAGTGCGGATCTCCTGGAGGAAAAGAGATGCTACTGTACTGTAGGATATGAATTCAATCATTGAATTCATATCCTACAGTACATTGAATTTCAATCGGTCATTCACTAAATCCGGCCGAATTGTGGCTAAGAGCAACCCAACCGCGCACATCTACACATAATAAGAGAGAGCAAATGACGTTTCCGTAAAGGTGATTTCGGGGTGACCCCAAATGTTGTGAAATTCGAGACTCGGCATCACGTCTCTGGGTTGAGTCCCAACACTGTCACTGGCTGCACTATTCGAGGCATTCCTTAGAACGGTCGTTAGTTGTTTTCCTCCTCGAAGCTGTCCACGCGAACACTTGGGCCTGCCAATGCATGCCACTTGAACCCCACGTTCCTCAAACTAGCACACAAAATGAGCAAAATGTTGTCAAAGAACATCGACAAAGTTGACATGTCTGTTTTCATCGAAAAGCAAGAAGACGTCCACGCATGCAGGGCGGTTGCGCAATCGCTGCGCGAGTACGGCGCCGTCCTCGTTAGGGATCCTCGCGTAGATGAAGATGACTCAACCAAGTTCCTGAACATGATGGAGAGGTATTTTTCTCAACCGAGAGAGGTGAAGATGAAAGATGCACGGCCACAATTTTTCTATCAGGTAGGAGTGACACCCGATTTCGTTGAACGTCCACGCGACAACTCGACCATTGCGCACGAGCTCGATACCGCGGAGCGACCAGTCAGCAATCCCTCAGCGAGGAGAAAGGACCCGAAATGGCGCTTTTTCTGGAGATGCGGAGAGCGCCCGAAGACAACAGACTTCCCAGAGCTCAATGCACCGCAGGTGGTACCAGAAGCGTTTGAAGACGAATGGGCTAGCACAATGAATGGTTGGGGTGGCAGACTTATAGATACCATATTGATGATCTCAGATATGCTTGCGTTGGGACTAGGACTACCTCAAACGTCTATTCGAGACAAGCTAGAGTTCGGTCCTCACCTTCTTGCCCCGACTGGATCTGATTTGAACGTCCTCGCAGATAGTGTCGGAACAAGTCTAGCAGGCTACCACTACGATTTGAACATTCTTACGATTCATGGCAAGTCGCGATACCCCGGTTTGTACATCTGGACTAGAACAGGAAAGCGGATACCGGTCGCCGTTCCGGAGGGTTATTTATTGATACAGTCGGGAATTCAGTTGGAATATCTTACAGCTGGAGATATTCGTCGAGGCATGCATGAAGTCGTGGTTAGTAAAGAAACCAGTGAGGCAGCGCGAGAAGCGAGGTCAGCAGGAGGATCTTTGTGGCGGGTTAGTTCGACATTATTCGCCCATGTGCGGTCGGATGCTTCCCTCGCTCCACTGGGCTCTTATGCGAACAACGCGGACCCAACCCTCTATCCAGCTGTCCAAGCTGGTGCCCAAGTCGCAAATGAGCTCAAGGCGATTGAGCTAGCGTCTTGAAATATTCAAGGTCACAGTTCACATGATTCTTTCCCCAACGACATATGAACCTGTAAATCAAACAGCTCCATGACTTGAAATCTAAATAGAGCACAGTGCCACGGCATTGCAGCGCCGCAGTCAAACGGCACCAAGAAGAAAAACCGGCCTTCTCGTTCAATTAGCCGATTTCGTGAGTCGTTGATTGGCTTTGGGTTTCACGCGTGGCATCGCCCTGTTCAAGGCTTTGACTAAGCGATACTTTCACGTCTGGTGCCATAGTAACGGTGTGCTCGGACGCGACTTTTCGGGATGGAACGGTCTCCACGGTATCATCGCGGGAGGGCTCATCCCCCGGCACCTCATTTTGCGAGTCTCTGTCTAGGCGCCCGTCAATTTGGATTACTCGGGAACCGTCCGTCAGGTTCCCCCCCATGGCATTTGCGATGACAGTCTCCTCCGCGGCGTGTTCGGGTTTATCTGCAACCGCTGCCTGGTCTTCCCTGCAAGACTGTGCAGCGATTTGCTTCCGCGCATCGTCAACTAGAAGCGCATCTAACTGTTCCAGAGAAGTTGGTAAAATCTCAAGCGCTTTGGCTTGGTACTGCGGATCTTTTGCCAGGGGGTTTGCTTCCAGGTAGACCGTCTCAAGTCGCGTTGCACTTCGCAATGAATTCAACTCATCGAAGGAAGAAAGTTTGTTGCCATTTATCCAAAACTCTCTGAGGTTGGAAAGGTTCTCAATGCATTCAATGTGTTCAATAAAATTAACACCCAAGTCCAAAACTTGGATGTTCTTCAGGCTTTGGATTCCTTGCATCGAAGTTATACCATTATGGCTCAGGTACAATTCTTCCAGATGTTCGAGATGTTCTAAGCCTTCAATACAGGTGATGCGGTTGCTCTGAATACTGAGTCTTCGCAGTTTAGTGAGTTTTTGTAATCCTTCGATGCGAGTGATCTTGTTTCTGCCAAGCCACAAACCTTGTAAACTTGGCAAGCGGTCGAGATTTTCGATCACACGCAAGCGATTGTCCCCCAATTCCAACATGATGAGCTTCGGCATAGATTGCAAGTCGGAAACTATGCGAATTTTGTTCCCGATGAGATATAGCTCTTCCAGGTTCGGCAAGTTGTTGGAGGGAAACCCTTTCAATTCGCGTATGTCGTTGAAACTCAAGTCGAGTCGTTTGAGTTCTGAGTTTTTCTTGAAACCGTCTGAAGGTATATGGTCAATTTGGTTCATGTACAAGTCAAGCTCTTCCAGCTCCTCAAGAGCGTCAATACCCTCAATGACCTTGATGGAATTCTGGCGAAGAACAAGTTCGCGAAGCGCCAGGCATGGGCTTAGTTTTTCAATTTTGGATATGCGATTGTTCGTGAGATAGAGATGCTGCAGCGTGGGAGTTAATTCGTAGCCGTTTCCGATTTCACCAAGGGCTTCATTGGTGCGGTCGATCCACTCTTCTGCTTTATCCTGGTTCGCCATTTTGAGGTGCCGCTAGTCAAGGGGCAAAACATAGGCGCGTCAAGTCGTGGTTGTTTGACAGACGGCTGGCAAGTCCGCTTAAGTCCGCTCTTCCAATCTTCTTTGCTAGCGAAATGGAGGGACACAATTGAGGGTTATCCTGCTTATTTCCACCCCCTATGGCCATGACTTGTGCAAAGAGAGAGATGCAAACAAAAAAAAACCCTTTTTGGAATGTTTTAGAATGGTTCCACCAAAAAAAAAAAAAAACGCAGAGAAAGAAGATCAAAATACGTATGATCTCTCCCCTTTCAGGAAGGATTTTTTCCATTGGCGCAGGTGCAGGATTTTACGCCGCCGCCGTCACCGTACCGAACCGTGACCTTAGTGTTATCATTGCTTCGCACGTTTTCCCCGCCACAATCCTCAGCCGCGTTTTCTTCGACTAAATCGCGGCTTTCTACGTCAGCCCAACTGCGCCTTAACAATGGGCGGAAAGAAGTTGGCGACACCCAAGGGGCGCTCAGGGTCAGCAAACTCGAAAACGGATAAGCTGTTGTCGAACTCAACAGCGAAAGCTAAACCGAAATCATTGCGGAAAGTTGAGACTCCAGCAGCCAAATCAGGTACACCTCGAGTGCGAAGGCGTGCATCGGATTTTGCTAGCAAAAAACGGTCCTCAAAGAAGAGACCTCGCGACACACCCGATAGTACTGAAGCCATCGACGAAACTCTAGCTGGGTTGAGAGGCGCCCTTCATTCGAAGAAGAAGGATGCTGAACGAGGCATTTCTGAGACTTTATTAAGTGCTTTGAAGCGTGCTAAAGATGCGTATGAGGACGACGAAAGCGGGCCCTCGTCTGATGACAGTGGTGAAGGCATTGAGGTAGGTAAGAGAAAGAAACCCCAGGTTTCTGCAAAGAAAATGACCCCGAAGAGCGAGAAATTGAGGACGCCTACCACAATGAAGAAGGATAATCCCAAAAAGAGGTTGTTCAACTCTCCAGACGTGTCGGGAAACGGTTCCTTGCGTCAGACTGGGGAGGGCAGTGGTTTGGTTACTCCAAAGCACACCAATAAGAAACGAGAAAAGACACAACGAAGCACGGCGAAGAAAAGCAAGCGCGAGGCAGGACGTGCTACGGTGACAGCCAGCGCTCATAAACGAGATATTGAGGCTCTCAAGAAAGAGGATCCCGATTTTTACAAATTTCTAGAGGAAAATGATACTACCTTACTGGATTTCGACGACGAGGATGAGCTTGGTGACATTGATCAAAGTGAAGATGAGAAAGAAAATGAGGACAGTCCACATGAAGAAGAGAGCGACGTTGACAGTGAGCCAGAAAAGGAAACACCAAAGAATGAATCGGATGTTTCCGCGAGTGAGGGGGACGAAGATGAATCGGACGATGATGAAGCGGACACAAAGGGTACGGCGATTCCGACAGCAGTCGGCGACGATGTCAAGGGATATAGTGACAGTAGCGAAGATGAAGAAGATGAGAGACGAGCAGAAGAAGAAGCAGCTGCAGAGGCTGGTCTGGACGTAAATGGTACGGCGATGGACAGCAGCGATTCGGAACACGAGGACGGAGGCGTCGAAAGGGCTGAGGCGGAAAGCGAAGAAATGGAAGAGGACTTGAAGGAGGAAAAAGTGAAGAAAGGCAATAAGAGAATGATTTTCGTTGACATGGCATATTTGCAGACCATCAAGAAGCAGCTGAGATCAAATCGCTCAAGCCTTGAAGCTGCGAAAGATCTGCTTCGTCTCTTCAGAGCAGGCAAAGAAATCCTCCCGGCGAAAGTCGACTCCCAGAGACAGAAGCACAAATCAAAAGATCGATCCAAAATCGCAAATGACGGCCAGTCTGTGGAAGCTGCCGAGGTGGGTGCTGACGAATTCGCTGATGACGGCAGCTTTACAGCAGGCAAAGTGAGGTTTGCGTCGGCGAAAGCGTATCAGCAGGCTCTGAACCTCGCGATCTCAGGTATTCAAGATGCTCTCGATCGCATGCTGGGCAAGCCGAAAGATGTCTCTGACGAGCGTCAGATTAGCAAGTGGGACCCATCAGAGAGCGGCCGATGGATGAACTTACAACGAGTGTTTCAGTCGTATGTATTTCATATGTTATCCTTGTGTGACGTTGTAACTGATCCAGCCACTTCGCGATTTTTGATGAAACGCCTGGAGAAGCTCGTGCCTTACACAAGGGAAAACAAAGTTCTTCTCAAGAAAATTGTCAAAGTTGCTATTAGAGTTTGGTCTGCGGATGCTTTGCACATGAGCGAGCCCTCTCGACTCCGTGCATACTTGTTGTTGAACAAGCTCGCTCATGGACCTGGCAATGCTGAAGTCGTTCTCCGAAGTTGCTGTGCGGCCTACGCCTCATCAATTGCGAATGTTTGCAATCCCAGGACTCTCCCTACAATTCAGTTCGCGGCTACTTGCATTGTCGAATTATTCAGCATTGACATGGGCGCGTCCTACAGTACCGCCTTTGCGAATCTCCGAGAGATCGCCATCTCGTTGCGAGCGGTCATGGTTTCGAAGCAAGAAAAGGAGGAAGTGGAACGCATTCACAATTGGTCATTCATTAATCGGCTTCGATTGTGGTCTATGGTGTTGGGCAAGTATGGCGCGGAAGATGAGTTGAAACCTCTTATTTACCCATACGTGCAAGTATCGCTTGGTGTGATGCGTGTTTACGCTACACCACGTACATTTCCGCTGCGCTTTCACGTCGCTTCATACCTATCTGACGTAATTGCGCAGACGGGTACTTACATTCCCCTTGCCCCTCATCTATTATCACTTCTTCGTTGTAGTGAGCTTCGGAAGAAACCAGTCCATGGGAACTCAAAGGCACTTGAATGGAGAAGTGTGTTGAGGGTTTCGAATGACGTCATCAAAACAAAACCGTTTGTGAGCGGCGTCATTGACGGTGTTGTATTTCAGCTGGCAAAGTTCTTCGCAACAATCTCCAAACATGTCTCGTTCCCTGAGATATCTCACATGGCTGAGGTAGCACTTCGGAAATTCGCCAAGGAAGTCGTTGTGCAAGAATGGAAGGAAAAAATCATGGGTCTTGTTGAAAAACTGCATCAGACATCTGATGCGATTACGGAGGCAAGAGCAAAAGCTGACTTCTCACCGCAAGGCGCAGTTAGCAAAGAAGGTATGCTGAGTTGTGTTCCAGGTATGGACCCCGACAAGAAAACTCCAATTCAACGATTTTTTGAAGTAGAGTCTACCCGAATCCGAAAACAAGAGAAGCTTCGCGATGAGAAAATCGTAACAAACCAGGGCGCAGCTTCAAAGAAGATATCTGCGGAAAATGACGATTCATCGGACTCTGATAACAGCGAAGTGCCTTCAGAGCCTTCCGCGAAGCGAGCACGTAAATCGGGTTCTCAAAACGGTGGCCACCCCACTAAGAAGATCAAACAGAAACTGTCAATTGTCGGCTCTGACGATGATGAAGAACCTGATATTGTGCAGGACCTGGACATGGATTCAGAGGATAGTGACGAAGAACAGTAAACCTTAACTTCTTTTTGGAACAAGCATGTCAATAGCTCCCTTTTTTTCCGTAGGTGAGTACGGTGACCATCTACTCTACACGCAGATATTCGCTTCGGGGCCTGGTAAAAGCCCTCGCAAGCTCATAGGTGGAATGAGTGGCACCTTCGAAAAACTGGCGAAGCGGTAGGTTGACATTCGAATCAGAGCCGGAAAGCGTATTTCACGTCCACAGCGACTAATCTGTCTATTTACATGAAGTATTGCTCTGCCCTAGACTCTGCGCAGTGGTCGCATCATTGCAGTTAACGGCGACCGCATCAAAATAGACAAGAAAAGCGATCTTTAACAGAAACCAGGAGCCCTGCAACGTTCAGATGCGAGCGCGCAACGAGGCATAGATTAGTACTACGGACTAATGCAGAAAGATCTAACTCTCCTGGTTCAGGAAGACGGAGTCGATTTCGCTGTCTCCCGGGTCGGTGATCGCCATTGCGCTTGTCCTGAAGTATCTTCCACAGGCGGTGCCTGTTATCGTGAAATGCACATTTCAGGGAATCGTATGAGACTGTCGCGTTAGTACCTACGAAATCGTTACATGGTGCTCTAAAATCGAACTCCTCCGCACCGTGCTCGGAAAAGAAGCGCATGTGAATTGGATTGCGATCAAGCCGCGGGCGTAAATGTGAAGACATCGCAGAACTTACCGAGATCGATGTTGTTTCCCTGGAAATGGTGCACTTGGCACTTCGCAAGCATCGCGTAGTACTCGAGCTCTGACTTTCTGAGCGGGGCGGTGTTGGAGGCGATGAGAATGAGCTTGGCCTTGCCGGATCTCAAAGTCTTGATTGTTGACTTGAAACCGAGGGTGTACTTGCCGGACTTGACGACAAGTGCGAGACGGGCGTTGACGTTCTCCGTCGTCTTCTTCTTCGCTTTGACCATTTTTGTTCGTAAGTGAGTTGGCGACGGAAAATGTAATAGAGCCGATAAGGTGCGCAAGCGTGATGGACGGTGAAGGCGGAAGGTGACGAGTAACCAGGTCGTTGTTGGCCATGCTCGCCGACGGCGTCCATTGAGTGGCCCTAGTTACACGTGTTCAGAGTAGCTATCATAACTTCGGGATCCCAAAAATTTGATCTATGAACAAGAAAGCAATCAGCACTTTAATAAAATAAAGGGAAAACTGGCTTTCAATATAGATATCAAAATATGTTTAAGTGTAAACATCTAATATTTTTAAATATTTTACTTTTGGATTAGATGTTTCTTTTCAACAAGGCGTTCGCCTGTACTTCAACAGACTCGAGCAATCCCTGTCTCACGGACAAGAAGCATGGCGTCGTACACGGGAGGGTCCAAAGCGACGTCACGCATCCAAGCCCTTGAAGCAGAGCGAAAGAGGAACAAGGACGAACTGGCAAGAAGGAAGGAGAGGATAGCTGCTGCATCCGACAAAGTAATTTCCAATGCGACTGGAAACAGCTTTACTGCGAGCACTGAGACCGTGGAAGACTTGCTTAAGAGTGACACCGTCGGCCTTGTGACTCACGCAGATTTTAAGGCCAGAAGAAAATACCTAGAACGCTGTGCAGCTGATGAGAGGGAGAAGAGAGATAAGACACTGAGAGAAAAACAAGCAGACGAGCGACGTGCGAGATTGAAAAAGGCAAACAAGGTCGTCCTTTCTTTCGCAGAATCTGACGATAGTGATGATAACAGCGAGGATGACTCAGAGCTCCCTCAGAAGAAACGCAAAGTGTTACAGCGCACCGAAGAAGATGAGAGTGAGGTAAAAGGGGTGCCCCCATCTCCGCCAAAGCGTAGGAAATTGGGAAAGAGCCCAGGCGTTGATACGAGCTTCTTGCCTGACAGAGAGCGCGAGATTAATGAGCAACGAGAGCGTGAGCGTCTCAAGCAAGACTGGATAAATGAACAAGAAGCCATCAAGAGCGAGATAGTGCGCATCACATACAGTTATTGGGACGGCTCGGGGCACAGGCGGACCATTCGATGCAAAAAAGGGACGACTGTCGGACGATTTCTCGCGATGGTACAGACCGAATTTAAGGAATTGCGGAATACATCTGCCGATACCCTCATGTTCATTAAGGAAGACCTTATCATTCCACACCACTACTCGTTCTACGACTTCATTGTCACCAAAGCCCGTGGGGTACGTGCGAATCTACTTTCCATCCCTGGTTCCTGGTCTTCCGCTCGCGCGCCCGTTCTTCTCTTAGAGTGCTGACCACGATTTGTTACCTTTCACTTTGGTTTCTCATTTTGCCAGCGCAGAAAAGCGGTCCACTATTCAGTTTTGATGTCGTTGAAGACATTCGCGTAGTCACAGATACGAAAAAGGAAAAAGAAGACGCTCATGCAGGCAAAGTAGTCGAACGGCGGTGGTACGAGCGAAACCGACACATTTTTCCCGCTTCGCGATGGGAAGTTTACGACCCTACGAAAAACTTCTCGCGGTATACTATACATGGGGACTAAACTAAAGGCCATACAGCCTGGGTTCACACCATGGAAGTGTCCCATTTCAGGTTGATGTGCCCTCGTTCGTGTTGGAGCCTACGAGTACCGTTGTCGAAGAAACTCAAACAGTGCGCGCATCCCCATCGCCTCACCACCCTCGGGACGTCCAGGAGACGATGTCGGGTTGTATCCCATCATATCAACATGAATCCAATTGGATTCACCGACAAACTCTTTCAAATAGAGAGCAGCCGTGATGGCCCCACCATGTCCGCTGGTGCCGCAGCTCTTTATATCGGCTAGCGGCGTTTCCAACATCCTTCGGTAAGGTTTGTGAAGCGGAAGTCTCCACACTAAGTCATCAACGCGTTGGCTAATTTCAAAAAGCTGATGTGCGACCTCATCATCAGTGCAAAAAATACTGGGAATGTCCGGACCCATTGCGACACGCTGGGCCCCAGTCAAGGTCGCACAGTCAATGATCAAGTCTGGGTCAGATTCGGTGGCAGCGACAAGTGCGTCTGCAAGAATGAGTCGTCCTTCAGCATCGCTGTTCATGTTAAGTGTTGTCTTGCCATTCCTTGCCGTGAGGACGTCACCAGGGCGGTAACTCGTGGCGGCAACATTGTTTTCGACTGCAGGGATCAGCACTCTGAGACGAACGTTCAAGCCCGCATCCATGATCATATCAGCGAGGCCAAGGACTTGGGCTGCACCCCCCATGTCCTTTTGCATGGTGACCATGGAAGACGTGGGTTTGATGGACAAGCCGCCGGTATCGTAACAGACTCCCTTGCCGACAAGAGTGAGCACACGCTCTGCACGTTCATTCCAAAGCAACTCGAGCAACCGCGGGGCACGCTCGGCAGGGGCAGCGCGGCCAACGCGATGGACCTGGGGATATCCCAAGCGAAGGAGCTGTGCGCCGACGATTGAGCTGGACCGGGCGGCGTGCTTGGCAGCCAACGTCGACACAGCTGCCTCGAGACTAGCCGGACCAAAATCCTCTGCAGGAGTCGAAATCATATCTCGAACCATATACGTAGCACACGCAGCGCGGTCGACGTCAGTCCTTTCCTTTGACTCCGGAGCCGTGCCTCTAACAAGGACAGCCGGGGACGGCGCAGGCTTCTCCGGCTCCGTATATCTGGTAAAAGAGTACGCGGCGAATGCCCATGCCAATTCGAGCTGCGAGTTGGAAAAATCGGCAGCGCGAGCGACAGCGTAGACATGGCCCTTTGGCAGTGCTGCAAATGCGGCTGCAGCGCGCCACAGAGGAACGCCTTCGTTCTTGACGGGGGCAATGAACCGCGCGACAGAGCCATCTGCCGCCTCGAAGTCTGGAATTGGGGTAGGCGCCGACGGCGGCCCCGGATTCAACTCAAGCCACGCGCGGACGGACGGGGCCTGCGACGACACATAGTCATGCCACTCGTCGTTATCAATCAAATCGACGGGAATAGCATCGGCCGCGTGATCGGTAAAATGCGAGACGAAGCGCGTGGCGGTGACGATGGCGTCAATGCCGGGGTCGGCGGGCGACTCCGCGGGCGACGGACGGGCCGACATAGAGACCAGGCGCAGCGTCGCCGGGCAGACGCGCGGGCGGGATCTCGGGCGAGACAGCACGGTCGACGAGAGCGTGAAGGCGGGCGGCAGACCACGGGCGAGACGGTGCGCCATGGCGGGCGAGGTTGGATGGACCGCGGGGCGGAAGACGGTTGCTGCCATCCGCGAAACGAGATCGCATTGCACCGGTACAGTACGTACTTGAGTTCTCTGTGCTGTACAGGGCAGTGCTTGTGCGCTAAATTACTCGTCCCTCGCAGCGGCCTCGAGACAGATTGGTGACGCATTGCCCACCAATCGCGCCGCATTTTTGCGTCCTCTCATCAAGGCAAAAAAACCCTCGGTCAAACCCCCCCCACCCCTCCC